CTTGCTTCTCTTCCTCAAGCTGGGTTGAGGTAGTCCCAGACAGTACTTACTGTGCCCTTTCCATTTTCCTATCCCTCCTTCCTCTCTGCTTCCTGTACCTGCTGTTCACAATGGGAATCATCGTTTCTTCTTTCTGTTTTTAACTAGAACCTGGATTTTAAAGCAATACTTAGAGAGAGCTTTGCCTAACTTCCTTCAGTGATATTTTGCTGCCACCTGGTGTATCTGTATATAATGTACATACCACATTCAGATGGCTAAGGACTAGAGAAAATAGTCTGAATACAAGTGGCAGAAAACTACATTAAACTACTCTCAATATAATTTTCTATGGCTATATAAAAAATAAGATATAGGAACTGACTTAATTGAATATAATAAATCATAAATGTAATTGGGACTATTATACCACTCAGATTCAATTAAAAAGCTAACTGGGGCAAAATAAAATTCCACAGGTAATGTATTGACACAAAATTCAAAATGTCATAGTTTAGTGCTGATACTTCTCATACAAATATACTTTTTTGGTCCTACAAAAATAAAAAAAATTCCATCTAGAGCTAATGCATATTTCAGAAAACAAACCAAAAATCATTGTCACTATGGAGTAAAAAGTCAGTGTAATATAAAAGACAATTAAAAAAAAAAAAGAACTTTAAAACAGAACCTCTACCAGAAGAGGGATATATATGTGAAAACACTTTTATAAGCAGATATTGGTTGGTAAATAATGGAGGTTTTGATAAAGCAGATAAAAAGGTCCATGTGTTATAATCAACAGGATAAATTAACAAAATTCAAAATGTCAACTGGAAGAGGTGCTGGCCTGGTGGCATAGTGGTTAAGTTCACACACTCCATTTCAGCGGTCCGGGGTTCACACGTTCAGATGCCGGGCACCGACCTACACACCACTTATCAAGCCATGCTGTGGTAGCATCCCACATATAAAGCAGAGGAAGATGGACACGGATGATAGCCCTGGGCCAATCTTCCTCAGCAAAAAGAGGAGGATTGGCAACAGATGTTAGCTCAGGGCTAATCTTCCTCACACACACACACACACACACACACAAAAAGCCAACTGGAAGATTAAGACATTTAAAAAATACTAACACCATTCTTATATTTATATGGTATTTTGTAGTTTTTAAAAGTATGTTCATGTATATATCCCATTTGAGCTAAATGGCTTAGGGGCCATAGTCCTTGCTTTATATATGAGAACAAGGGGTCACCGAGAGATTAAGGGGGCATGTCCAAGGCCACATAGCTAGAGATGAGCCAAGCCATTCTATTCTCTTTCTCTTCGTTTCTTCACTTAGAGAAGTTATCCTCCCTGAAATTTACACAATGTTGTAAGCTAATACGACCGCAATTAAAAAGAAAAATCCCCCATACTGCTGATTTCAAAATTCTCATTATAACCTCCAAACTCGCACACAAAACCCAGCCCTGACTCCTAACTACCTACAGAATACCTTACTTGGATGCTTCACTGTCGAAGATACTCAACAAGAGGTTGATCTCCAAAACTAACCCCTCTTTCCTAATCAGTTCTGTTAATAAAAATTCTATCCTTCTATCATCCAAGATTCAAAACTACTTATAGACAGTTCCATCTGAAATGCATACTTTTCTTTCTTTCTTCACTTACACCCAGTCATATCACCCATCCCTCCTTAAAAATAAAAAAGAAATAAGCAAAAGGAAGCAGCAAATAAACTCTGCTCTTCCTCTCAGTACTGGGCCATCCACCCATGTGTCCAAGGTAGAGACCTAGACCAAATCTTTGGATTTCTCCCTGTCTCTTCATAGCAATCAGCTGCCTATAGATTCTCTCTTGTAAGTTTTTTCTAGAATCCACCCGCTTCCCTGTATTTTCACTGGTACCTCTTTAGAACAGGCCACTGTCATCTCTCCTGGGGATTACTGACGAGCATTTTAAATGGTCACCTCATCTCCAGTTTGCTAAACTACAACCAAGTAATATTTCTAAAATCCAACTCTGATCATGTCATCCCCTGTTTAGAAATCATTCAATGACACCCCCCCACCACTGCTTTTGGAATAAAGTTCAAACATTTAAACTGGTTTTACAATTCCCAACCCTACTCCTTCCATTCACTCCAGGTAGACTAACTTTATATTAATTCCTCGAAAAATCACGTTCTTGCCTACTTCACATATGCTGTTACTGCTGTATGAAACACGGTTCACTTGCCTAACACTTGCTTCAGGCTTGGCTCAGGGATTTTTTTCCTCTGGAAGACATCCCTATTTTACTGAACCTGGACCAAATACTCTCCTAGGTGCTGCCTGAGGATGCTAAAGTTCTCTGATCATAGCCTTTAAGGCATATTGCAATTGTCTGGTTATTTTTCTTGTTAGAGACAAATTGTATAATGAATTAACTTTTTTCCTACGCATGTAAAATAAAACTGTAAAGTGCCATCTTGGGAGAAGTGAGAAAATAATCACTCAAACCATCTGTGTTTTGTGGTTCAGATGAGGAATCCAGTTGAAAAAGACCATAAGCTTTGTGAAAATAGGGACCTCTACCTATCTCATTCATTCTTGCTTCTGTCTGCACAGCAGCTGACACTCTGTAAGTACTCACTAAACACTTAAATAACTGTATAAGTTTACTGAAGCCACCGGCACCTCTGAATGATCCAGCTGCGGGCTATTAGTGTATACCCTTATAGAGGAGCATTGAGCACACGCCTAGACACACACTATTCACTCAAATTCTAGGTTGATTCGAGATAAAAGAAAAATGTAATAATCAGCTGACATCTACTGACAACTTACTGTAGGTCAGGGATGAAGAGTTCATAAACTTTAGGCAGAACAGTCTTCTTTCTCTAGAACCAGCCATCACTGTATTTCAATCATTTCTCTGTCTTCCCCACTAGATTTTAATCCTTGAGGTTAGGGACTGCATCTTAACATTTTTCTACCCCTAAAAGTTATAATAGAGCCTAATAGTAGGCACTCAGTAAAGGTTTGTGGAATCAAGGAAAAAATCAATCTGGATCAATATGGATGACTGAACAATCTTTGAACACATGAAAAATAGCCAAATCAAATAATTTATTAAGCACTTACCTGAACAGGTAAGGCAGTTATTTCTAGTGGTGTCATCTCACCAAAATATTTAATTTCAGTCTCACTATCCTCATTTGTAAACAAGATAATACTACCTTCCTCACCAAACTATTTTAAAGATTAAATGAGAAAATGAATACAAATGCTTATCACAGTGCCTGGCACACAGTTAGTGCATAATAAATGGCAGCTACTATTTTGATGATGACAGATATACGCATGATACACAACAAACTAAATATATTTTGCTTTTTCTTTTAATACATTGTTCTTAAAATTCCTTAATTTTTAAAATGAATATTTGATGGTTATATAGCAAAAGAAAAATTTAATAACCGATTGATTATCCCCTCAATTGTCACTGTATCCTCTGACTCCTGCATTAAGGCAGGATACATGTGCCACAGACTGGTTCTAAACTATCAAAGTATTTATAAATCAGAAAACTCTGATTCAGACTGAGGGATTTCTATGCAGTTATATAATTAAGTATATACTGAAATATTCAGAATTCCTCTAGTCAAAGATAAAGAGGCATTAAGAAAAAGAATACATCTTTTTCAGAGGTGGGAAGAAATGAGGAAGAGCAAACCGCTTGTTAAAAAAAATGTACCAGAATTTTCATTAAAAATTATTAAGAGTTAAAGGAACAGGGTAAAAGGAAACAATCAGGGGTGAAAATAAAACTACAGGTATAGGGAAGGTAGAGCAAAATAATAACTGAACTTATAAGCATATGAAATATACAGGCCACTGGCTCCATTTTCTAAAGGGCAAATTTTATGAAGCTATTTTCCTAGAGGACAGGTGAGGGAAAGGGCAGGCCAAACTGACACTGGATTTACCTTTGTACTTGTGCCTGGGTTTATGAGGTTTTTTGCCTGAAGGAAAGAGAGCTAAATCCAAATTATAAGAATGAAATATTTTAAAAGTCTTTGAAAAAAATTCTTTTATATTACAAAGCTCTACCAATGTTTTACTCTTAGCACTTTTATTTCCCCAAGGAATTCATGGGGAATAAAATCTCTGATAGTACTGAATTTTTTAAAAATTCAAAATAATTCATTAACATCTCAGATTATTATGAACAACTATCATTGTAATAAATAAACATATTTTGGATCCACATTATAAACAAGATAGGTATTTACAAAGATTGTGCTACTTTTAGTGATTAATTCAGAAAGCCACCTAACTGAAATCAAACAGTTCTCTTATAGAACAGGGGTATCTCCAAAGGAAGAACTAGTTGTTCTACCAAATTTAAAATTTATACAATCATCAAATGAAGATGAAGGTATATGACATAAAGTCTTTTATTTTTAGCTTTTAAAGTAAAATTGAATACAAGACACCATGGAGTTTTGCCTTGGAACACAATAAAATTAGTTCAGTCAATGAAAAGAACAGAAGGAAACATACAGTGCACAGAGGAAAACATTCTTAACTTAAAAAGTTTGTAGATTTCTTTACATAGCAAACAATTTGTACTCTTTCAAATGACAAAAGTTTACCTGATTCATTAAACTCAGTAAACAAATCACTAAACATTTTTCACCAATTTCAATAAATTAAATACAATATTGATTAATGAGGAAAGATTCACTTTGCCTCTTTGTTTATAGTCTATTATTAAGTATAATAATAACAATGATAATTATCACTTGAGGACTCGATCTGCTCATGATAAAATTATATATATTTCTTTAGAGATTTACTAACGGTTTTCAAGAGCAAAATGTTTAAAAAGAAGTAAACCCTCTTATGCATCTGAAAAAGCTGTGATATAGTAAGTATCCAAACAGAACTAATTTTCATTGCTAATTGGGTCTGGAAAAATTACTGAAACATAATCACTTGAGTGAGTTCTAATTCTCCTCCTCTTACCTGTTACTTGTGGCACGTATGGTACTGACAATCTCTCAACACTATAGCCACTTCCACCTAGTGACTCTGCAATCTTGTTGGTCAAAAAGTACAAATTTTTGTCATGCTTCTCTAAAGATTTTGGAAGCCTGTCAGGTTGATCAAAATAAAAGTCATTTAGTATTATTTAAATTACTGAGCAAAAATAAGTTAACATGTAAACATTCTAGATCAACACCTAAATATTATAAATATGAACACAACTTAAACTGTAATTAATAACAGAAAAAACAGTATATTTTAGGGGACTAATGTGAGCCCTTTAAAAACACATGGTATGCAGTCCCTTATACTAACCATTCTAATTCTTTCCCCAATAATATTCCAATGGTGAAGTCAGCCTTACATTATTCTGTTGGCACTCACACATTAAAAGATGAAGAGGACTAAATTCAGCTTTAACTTTCAGGCTAATTAAAAATCTACTGAGAGAAGGAAATAAAAATGTAGCTCACTGATTGTTAATAAAAAACATATTAGCCAGCTAAGTGACAGGAAGCACTTGCCCAATCATATAAAGTTTTACGTTCCTTTCAAACTGCTTGATATTATCTTAGGCTGATGTTTTCAGTATTAAATTGTTTTTAGAGCCCAAAAGTTTAAATAAAGTATTGCTCATGTATATTTTTTTGTTTGGACAGCAAGGAAGAATGCAGGGTATAAATTATTGATTTTCCTTAATACATTCTTTCTCTCACAATTTTTTGAGTATTGTTATCTATTACTGAAAGTCTTGAACAGGATATTATATTCTCTTAAAGGAGTGTTCATTTATATAAAAGAATATGCTATATTTAAAAGATATATCTCCATATTAAAAAAAAGCAAAGATAAATATTTTGTCATCAAAGACTGACACCATGTGTGTGTGAATCTACATTTATAATGTACAAGAACTTTTATATCAAGAGAAAGAAGTCAGGTGAATTAAATGACAGAAACACAAAATGATGATTATTATAAATCACTAGAAAATTATTCTAACAATAGTTTACTCCTTTATAATCATCACTGATTGGTTTCTCAAGTCAGTGCCCCTTCCTTAAAATGTTAAGAATTAACATACATGCACTTATCTCTGAAAATATGCTCTGGTAGAAAATAAGGGGCTTCCATAGTTCGAATTTCAATAACCTGAAAAATATCCAAAAACAAAACAAAAATTAAAAACCTCACCTTTCAGGACCTCGCTATGAAAATTTAGAAAACCAAAAGAACAAAAGCAAAAGCTAAACATTTATAAGAAATACCATCACTTTATTTGGAATTTAAGCTATGTTTAGAGCCCAAATGCAGAGTTCATTTTGTTTTCACATTTATTATTTTAAAAATTCAGCAGGTAACAAAATTGTAACAATAAAACTATAAATGTAATGAAAAACAATGATATATTACATTTGATTAAACCTACTACAAAGGGATAAAAACACCTATTTTTTTAAATGCCACTATTTTGGAAATCCCTTTACAAAGCACGAGGCCGTCACCACCCTCCTTCTTGTGCTACCTTTTGCAGAAGGAGCATCAGGTCTCAATGCACTGTGAGAATGGCTCCTCCAGTCAACTGCAAGCAACTTCACAGGGGTACTCTGCTTTCGTAATATTTCTCTCTCTAATGGCGGGCATGAAATATTCACTCAAACATTTGTTTAATGAATAAATTAGTTTTATTTCTTAGAATGCACTAAAAACCTAAATTTTAGTAAGGACTGAGAATTGTGCTTCCAATTTCATAAAAATGAGGTTCTCCCTGACAAATGTCTTTAAAGAATAAAAATTACAGGCGATTTTTTCAGCCAGGTAAGTTAGGGGCTCTGAAATACATATTAAATCAGGCAAGTAACTATTTAATGAGTTCCTGCTGAAAAAAGCTAAATATAGTTGAATGACATAGGACAAATCTCTGAGAGGCACATTAATATTCGACTTTTGAGAGCTGGCTCAAATAGATTGGTCTAAACAATAACAACAACAACAACAAAAATAGCATAATTTTAAAAAATTTAGATACTAAGATTCATAACGGCTTAAAACAAAAAAATTAAATATGCAATCACATGAAGTACTCTAGAAGAAAACCATGTATCCTACTCAACCACTACATAAAAAAATTCTAATAAAACAACCGGCATCAAAGAAAATATAAACACTAACTGTAGTTTCAGTTTAGTCACTGAATACTTTTATAAAATTATCTTAACAATTTGATACATAATCATCAAATTTAAATCATCAAAATTAAAAATAACCATCACTGTAAGAAAATTAACCATTTTTGTATAAAAATCGAATTGAAGGACTTTTCTAAATACCTTACCTTGCTAACATGCTGGCAAAATGCAGGGACAGCTATCATCTGACTTACAAAGTTGAGGTATGCAGCGACCAGTGCCATGATTCCACAACGATGGAACATTGGCAAATTATCCTCATTGATAATCGCGCTGTCCTTTAATAAAAAACAAGCACAGCAGACAGATCAAGGTCTTATGCTCCCTTAGTGTTTTCTCTAAGATTATATTGAAAAACTGCAGGTAGTCTGGAATGCTAACAAAAATATCACCTTATATATACCATATATATTGATATATGATATAATACACTTTTTTATATATATTATATATATGTAATATATATTCTCATTGCATGCTATCCTTTTATTAGATAACATTTAAACACCAACCAAACAACTACGTACATGTAATTATTATTTAATGACTATCTCCCCCACTAGACTGAAAGTATGGGCACAGAGACGATGCAGCCTTTTTCATCACAGTATTCTATGGTCTTGCACAGTATTTAGCACACAGTAAATGTTCATCCAACAAGTTAAAAGAATAAATGAATGTGATCATAGTCTTGAGTATTTTAGACTTAAAACTAGACACCTCCCTTTTAAAATTCATGTCCTTGGATAAAGGCAACCACACTTTAAAGATGGTGTCTACTTAAAAACAAATGTTTTCTTCAATGAAGTTATGAAAGCATACCTGTAAAGCAATGGCTAATCGAATAAGATCAATAACCACTTCTTCATTGGCCAATTCAATAGTTGTAAGAGCAAGAGAAGTATAAAGTAGCTCATAGTTTTTCTGAACATTGTCTTCCTCTTTACAGCCCAAATATATGTGCCGATATAGCTGCTGCCCATTCTGAAAGGGTAATGACAGAGAAAAAGGACAATTTTGCTAAAAATGTAATAAAGGCAGATTTCACACGCATATAACCTCCTACAAAGTAGCTATCTTATTACATAATTTAACATGAAAGAAAAATTTAAGCTGATAATCAGATGGTCAAATTGTATTGTAGTTATTAACATCAACAAATATACCAATATACAACTACAAACTAACATCAGAGTTGAAGAACAAACCTTAAATAAAAACAGCAGGAAATAGTTCTAGTGTAAACAATGAAAACGCTTTTAGTAATAATTTGAAAAGACAAAATCAAATTATAGAGTGATATGAGAAAAAATCAAAATAGATGGCAGAATTATGGGAGCCTTGGCAATGACAGAGAACATCAGGCTTAGGGGAGATGTACTCAGGCTTTCTTGTCTTAGGGAACCACCTCTGTGAGGTGAGTTAGGAGCTGGCCAGGGAAGAGCATGTGCAGGTTTTGCTACACTTTGGCATGAAGTGACCAAGGGAGGTCTAATGCCTATACACAGGGCAGAAGTTACAGAAACACCCCAGGGACTGCAGAGGTTTCCCCCTAAACCCAACTCATCTAAGTACGTTAATAAAGAATATAAAAGCCTTCCTATCTAAAGCACTCCTGGGTATAGGTTCAACTATCAAGTAAGAGCTAACAGAAATAAGATGGTTTCAAGTCACTATGTAGTAATTAACCCAATCTGCTGCACTGATTCTCAACACTAACTGTAAGCTACAATCCTCAGAAAACTTGAATGACCACCATGCTTCTGCCCTCCCCATCCCTTACTACTGCCCACTCCCAACATGATTCAATTAGTCAGTGGTGAAGCACAACCATCAGCGTTTTTAAAGCATAAAGCTCCCCAGGTAATTCTAATGTGCAGCCAGGGTTAAGAACACAAGGGGCCTACTCATTTGTATGTGGAAGGACTTGAGCTTAACACTCCAGGCCTGCTTCTAAGCAGGTTCACCTGCTGATCATTTGAGTCGGGGAAGAACTGAGCAAGAACAGCACACAGTCTTCTGAAGCCAGCCTGTGTGTAAAAAGCATGCATTTTGCTCTGTTCTAAACTTAACATGCACCATGGACCCATCCTGGTCAGGCGGGCCTGTAGTTTTTCAGCTGTACCAGTGAATGAATGGTTAAATTTGTTTAGATCTGTGGTACAGTGTTAACAAGACTTCTTTTGGCTATAGATGTAAAGTTACGCTCTCCTATCAGATTCCTCTTTATTTCTGAAGCTGATATTTTGGTTTCCACCCTTCTGAATCCAGAGTTTGTCTGTCTGTCTGTCTCTCTCAAATGGCTCTATACTTGAGTGTGTAAGGATCGTCCATGTATTGGACCCTCTTGAACTCTAGAGTATTCTTGAATCCTATGTTCCTAGACATTAACAAACATTAAAGTGGTGCTTACCACACGGGAGTTTAGGCTTCAAGTTTCTTAAGTAATTCAAGTTTATTTTTAAAAATTACCTACTACATAGCCACTATATTAGATACAATTAAAATCCAACATTATGTATAATACACATGTTATACATTATATACATACATGTATGTATACATGTATGTATACATACATACACATATATACATAATATACATAACTTACACTATAATAATATAGAGTAAATAGGTATAATGACTTCACAAAGTGGTTTGGCATTATCTAGAGTAATGGGAGTTATATACAGCATAATACATGTACAAGAATGTTTACAGCAGCACTGTTCATAACAACTCCAAACTAAAAACAATTCAAATGTCTGCCAACAGGAGAAGAGACAACTTGTGGTATATTTGTGCCATGAAATACTATAAAGCTATACATATGAATTTTACCAAAATAGAGCTAAATGAAAGAAAACATAAAAGAACACATAATGCATATGGTTCCTTTCACACAAAAGATGAAAACTGGCAAAACTATTCTGTATTGTTTAGGGATATACAGATGTACACTTAGGTGGTAAAACTGTGAAAAAAAAAAACAAGCAAAGAGTCAATTTTCATAAAAGTAAGATCAGTGATTACCTGTTGGGGAGAGGATGGAGCTGTAAACAAGATGGGCATGTGGAACGCTTTGGGTTATATTGTTGTTCACTTTTTTGTGTGTGTGAGGAAGACTAGCCCTGAGCTAACATCTGATGCCAATCTTCCTCTTTTTGCTGAGGAAGATTGGCCCTGGGCTAACATCCTGCCTATCTTCCTCTACTTTATATGGGATGCCGCTAAAGCATGGCTTGAAAAGTGGTACGTTGGTGCACGCCCGGGACCCGAACCTGCGAACCCCGGGCCACTGAAGCGGAGCAAGCACACTTAACCACTATGCCACCGGGCTGGCCCCTATTGTTGTTCACTTCAAAATAATGAAAATAATAATGCCTGTATATTTTATATTTCATAATAAAAGTAACTTTTTTCTATATAATTCCTTGAATTGATAAAACATTAACATGAGCTCTTTCAAATGGTAACCTTCAGTGAGGAATATACCTTTAGGAGAGTAGCCCCAGGAGGTGAGGCTCTATATACTGAATGGGAACAGCTGTTTTCTCTTATCTGGAAGTATAGCTTCATTAGGAAATTACAGATGAAGAGGCACCTCCCAATGTAAATTGTAAGGGCTTCCTGTTCTGGGGCAGTTTTCCAAACTTAGACTCAATATCTAAGATGTCCCTAAAACACTCAGAGCAGTTTTAGGCTAGGCAGTAATCTGAGACACAGCGGCCTAAACACACAATGCTGGCACGGAAAATGTCAAAAGTTCTATCCATGCTAAATGCAACATTCTTTTATCCAAAGGGCAGTCCACCATCCGCTGGCTATAGAACCCCAATTTTTTTCCTTAGGTCTTTGTTGAAATTTCCATAAGTTGCCAGTTCAAGTTGCATATGAAAACCAAGTAACATTTTGACAGATAAAATAAATTGGAAGATAAATGAAAAAGGGTGTCCAATTATAAAAATAAAATTTGATAAAAGAAAAATATCCTAAAAGGAATGGTTTATACTAATGGTAACAAATGCTCAGCCAGATAAATTATTTTAAATTATAAAATGGAAGGCTAATTCAGAGAACAGTTTAAGGATTCAAAATTTAACATGGAATAATAGTCTCATATTTCAGTTAAACTGCAGCCTTTCAAACTGGTTGGCCAGCAAAATTAAGCACAGAGAAGGATTATCTCTATCACTGTCGTAGATAAAAATAACATGCAGTCCCAATGTTAAGGATTGCTTAATGTCATTATATAAATAAGGCAAAAGCCCAAAAATTAGTTATCAGTGAGTTTTCAAAATTCATTCTATGAATCATGATTAGAAGTTTCTCAGTTATGGGGAACAACTTCTTTCATTAACTGGATAACATAAAGACATACTGAAAAAATAAAAGTTGGAAAGAGTTAATATCTTTGCTCTATGTATTAGCCACTTTTTTCATATACAATATAGCCAAACTTAAAGAAATCTTTTTATTCACATTAATTTAGGAACAGTGATATTTTGTAAATGATTTTTCAAATGAAGTTTTTAAACTATGAGGCCATTAAGTTGAAACACAGCCATCACTAGTAATGGATAGGGACAGCAAAATAAAAGATGGTGACAGGGAGAGAGCACGGACTAATAAAGAGCCAAAAGAAAGAAAATGGATTACAGATCTGCACGTAACTTCCTACAGGGCTCCTTGTCTGTTGTTCCTTGTACCTCTAAAGATCAGGGATCATTCATCCACCAAGAGAGTGATGATCTCGAGGCCAGTTAGCATGTGTGTCATGGTTACTGTTGTATCTCTCAGTGTCTGGCAACCACCAGGTGTTCAAGCTCTGGATGAAGAATAACTGCATGGAAAGTTTACTCAATATGCTAAATAACTTTAGGTGCCAGGATTTTTTAAATTCAGTCATTTGCCAATAGACCTACAAAATTTAAATGATCATAATGAAAATCTAGCTAAATACTACTTACAAGGGCAGAGATCCTGCCTACCTCATATTTATATCCCAAATAGTGCACAGAACAATGCCTAATACACAGAAAACACTCATTATTTATTCAATGGTGATACGTATTTTCAAAAACTTCAAGCTGTCTATAAAAGAGCCATTAAAATTGGAGTCAGTATGTGCATATGGGGTAGGGAGGAGTGCAGGGCAGAAATCAGAGGGAGACATTTTACTCAAAGGAAGAAGTTTAGTACTCTTACAGCACAGTCCAGCAATCCAGTGCTTAAACACAGGCTGGAGGAGACACCATTAGGAATGTTGTAATAATGTGGGGGAAACTGAAAACAGTGGCTTGAGATTTTCAACTCCAAAATTCTATGGCTTCATTTTAAGGTCACAGATCAGTATAAAACTACCTAACAACTCAAACGGCTATAACTTACATCATGCATTATTTTTTAGAAGATAATCTTACCTTTTTCATGAAACTTGTGTCTTGTCTACAAATTTTTTCTCTTTTTATCTTTAGGTCAGCTACATCTGGTATTATTCTAGAGATAATCAATATATCACTTTTAATGAATAGCTTATTTATTTATAATATGTCTTATATGGCAAATCATAGTTACACTTAGAAGTTTGAACTCTGTAACACTCATTTCAATGAGCATTTTAAATAAGCCTAGATATAATAACACTACTGCATTACTAAGCTTAATTAAGGGGAACTGCATAAAGTAATCTTGACTCCTAATGTTTAAAGCAAAACCAAAATAAAATTCATGTAACTAGTGATTACTAAGAGATGAAATCTCTGAAAGAACATTAAAAGAGCTCCAAACATTTGCTGTATTAAACTATATTAATAATTGTCTTGATACCAATTAAAAAAAACTCTGGATTAATAAAACTTGAAAATCCTAGGTTAAAAAAATCACATACTTAAATACATGAATGTAGAAATTTAAAAAGATTATCATTAAGTCTATTTCAAAATGACACATCACCTGATCCCTCGAAGCTTTGCCCTATTGTCATGGCGATCCATGAGATTATGCATCACTTCCAAGACTAACTGTCTCAGTTCGTAGTCTTCCATTAGGGATGGTGACAACAAAGGATCCAGAAAAGACCCAGGCAGGGCAGTAACAATTGTCTTTGCTTTATATCCAGAGGTTACCTGATTATAGTAAGAAAAAACAAAGAAATAAAAAACCTTTGCTGTGACTCTTCCTTTGTCAAAATTCTCAAATTGTTTTACAAGAACCATAAACTAAGGGAAACAGCAAGTATGGACATAAGCCTGAAGAAAAAACAAAAAGGTAATTTGTAAGGTGATGAAGATTTATTGAATTTACAAAAAATCATTCATAAAGAGAATAAAACTAATAGCACACATTTACCATGCGCCAAGCACGAATCTAAGCACTGCATGTGTATTGACTTCATCTTCACCACATTCCTGAGAGGTAGGCATTAGTGTATCCTCATTTTATAAAAGAAAACTGAGGCTCAGAGAGGTTAAGAATATACGGGATAGGCAGTCAGTACTAAACAGACACAAGGAGATTAGGCAGCAAACAGTACAGGTAAAACCTGAAAAATTTTAATTTACACTTGCAAATTATTCTTTTATTTTAAAGTAAGCAGTTTAGGTTAATAGGAAGACATTTTCATTTTGGAAAGCTGTACTCTATTAGTTAGTTGACTTGACATTTATGAGTGCATTCCTATCTTCTAAATGTAAAGCTTTTAAAGAACATATACTTAAATGCTATTAAACATTTTAACCATACCACGTAGACATACATTCAGTTGACTACGTGATACAATTAGAATTAGAAGCAAGATTATTTACTCGGGGAATTTGTTTAATAAGAAGATTAGGACCAAATGAAATTTCAGGTGGGTAATTTCAATTTATATTCAGGATTACACACATATATGGAACATCTAACATTTATATTTGGGCACTTATTATTGGATGGGGGTGATTTTATAAGTAAGCAGGAAACTTGGTGGGATAATTGCTACCCACCTAGAAAAATTAAAAATATATCCATGTCTCACACCATACACAAAAATAATCTTCAGATCCAAGTTCTAGATGTAGAAAGCCAAATTTTAAAAATTTTTGTAAGAAAATATAAACAAATGTATTTAATCATCAAAACAGGCAAGGAGCTCTTGAACAAGATACAAACAAAACAGCACAAAACATAGGAAAGGACTGATAAATCTGGCTATATTAGAATTTAAAACTTCTTTATGACAAGCACCATAAACAGAATTAAACTGAAACCACATAAGATATTTCTCTACTTATCCCTAGGTATGAAATATTTCTTTTAAAAAATAGGATCATGTACAATAAAGATTTCTAGGTTAAATTTTAAAGATATTAATTTGGAAAGGAAACAAATTCCAAACAACCAGCTCCTACCTTGTTCTTGGCATAATGCTAAGTGTAGTGCACTCAAAGATGAATATAATTACTATAAATTAACCACAGGACCTCATATTTTAGGTATGCTTTCCCTTTTCAGCTACTTATAGCTGAATTATTTTCCAAACAAGAAGCCATTATTTGGTTCGTATGTGAAAGAAATAGCATGATATGTAGAAAAAACACTGGATTTTAAGTCCAAGTTCTATTCTTTAGCTCTGTGACTTTGGTGAACCTCATCCATTTCTTCCACTGAAAAGTTTGTAAGCCCAGGCATCTTCCTCAATAAAAGGGCAATACCTTCTGCCCTCTGTATGTTTCATCATTATGAAAATCAAATAAGATGATAGGAGAAGGGAGGAATAAACAGTACAAGCATAATAAAATAAGGGAAAATGAAAAGCATAATATTTAAATATATAAACCACAGAAAAAAACTAACCATAATAGTATCTGACTATATAAGAAAAAGCAGCTGATAACTGCTGAAGTGAAGCTAGTCATTTAACCTCTTCAATAAATGAAGGTTAAGTGTATTCTTCACTTGTCTTAAATGCCTTACCATAAGTAAAGATCTCAGCAACATTATCTGAATCCGCCTGGTTCCCAAATCCCTAAAATACACAAAATACTGGTATTATCTTATTAATAGTAATTGACATTTATATTACTTCATTTACTTATATTATTGTTTATTGATTTTAAAACTCTAATCATATTGGCTAAATAGATTTTATTTTCATAATGGCTAAAGTCATGGCTCCCTTTCTACTTCAAAGTAAATTTCATATGAATTAATGTTATGTAAAAAAGAAAAATCAAATTCAAAAAAAAATTAAAAAGTTACTGGCCCTCAAAGAAAACAGACCTATGCATGTAACGACATGAAAATTAAATCATATGAATACACAGAGAAACAATCCAAATTAAAAGGTACTATAAATTGGAGAATATATTTACTGCAAATATCACTGAGTTATATAACATCTTTTTAACAGATAAAAACAGATGATTCAAAAAAAAATTAACAAATAGAAAAAAGGTTATCTAATTAATGGTCAAAGAAATATAAATCAAATAAGACTATCATTTCCCTATTAAAGTAGCAAAACACAAAAACATTCACAAACTAAAGCTTTAGCATTTTGTAAAATCAAGTCAAATGTATAAAATATAGGGGCCAAAACATATGATCTTTAAAATCACTTTCAGTTCTAGAATTCTAGGAATAAGTCAATATTCCTGCTACACTGACATTAATTTTTAAAATTTTTACAGGAAACTTGAAGCTTTACCCTAAACATGCATGTATATTAGACAATGCCCAGGCTAAACACCTTCCACCTGGTCAATATAAAACATAGAAAATTTGACAATTTATGATATACTGAAAACTGATTCTAAAAGCATGGAATACTGATTTAATTACTTAGCATTCTAGTGCCATAAAAATACTGCTTTCCATATGACTGTTATTACTAATGATTAAAAAAAATACATTTTCCAGATTTCTTTAAGATGAAATTTAATACAAGATTAAGTTCAAATTTATAGTTTGAGAACTTAGGAAAACTACATATGCATACCCCAGTTGACTGATATCCAAGGCATGGGTGGATGTTCCAAAAACAGGTACTTTCCCCATAATGAACATCATGATTTCTGACCTCTGATAATCTGGTAGGTTACTTCCAAAAAATCCTATAAAAATATTAAGATAAATTTTACAAATTGAAAAGTTTATTTTTCCATATAATACAAAATTATATTTTTAACCAAAGCTTTCAATATGTAGTAAAACAATATCTTTAAGCTACATATAACTCTAATGATATTATAATTTCATTTAGCCAAAATCATTTAATCATATACAATATAAGATGTATATAATGGACTAGAAATAATAAATGTCTGAAAGTCTTCTGCATATAGTTAACAGAGGCAAACCATCATCAATCTGAGTTGATTAGAGTTTTGGGGGTTTTTTTCGTTTAAGGTCAGGGTAGTTTTTTTTTTAATTGAGGTAATAATACTGGTTTATAATATTATAGAAATTTCAGATGTACATCATTATATTTCAATTTCTGTGTAGATTACATGATGTTCACCACCCATACACATGTGCCTAGTCACCCCTTCCCCTCTGTTAACCACCAATCTAATCTTTGTATCTATGTGTTTGCTTGTTGTTATTGTTGTTGTTTTTATCTTCTATTTATGAGTGATACCATATGGTATCTGACTTTCTCCCTGAATTATTTCCCTTAGCGTAATACCCTTAAGGTCCATCCATGTTGTTGCAAATGGCAAGATTTCATCTTTTTTTATGGCTGAGTAGTAGTCCATTGTGTATGTATACCACAGCTTCTTTATCCGTTCGTCCCTTCATGGGCACTTAAGTTGTTTCCAAGTCTTAGCTATTGTGAATAATGCTGCTATGAACATAGGGGTGCATATATCTTAACACATTCATGTTTTCAAGTTCTGTGGATAAATACCCAGCAGTAGAATAGCTGGATTGTGTGGTGGTTCTAGTCTTAATTTTTTGAGGTATCTCTATACTGTTTTCCATAGTGGCTGCCCCAGTTTGCATTACCACCAGCAGTGTATGCAAGTTTTCGTTCCTCCACATCTTCTCCAACACTTGTTATTTCCTGTCTTGTTAACTATAGCCATTCTGATAGGAGTGAAGTGGTTCTAATTTTGATTTACATTTCCCTCAAAATTAGTGATGTTGAACATCTTTTCATGTGCCTGTTGGGCATCTGTATATGTTCTTTGGGAAAATGTCTGTTCAGATCTTTTGCCCATTTTTCATTTGGGTTGTTAGTTTTTTTGTGGTTGAGATGTATGAGTTCTCTACATATTTTGCACACTAACCCCTTATCAGATATGTGGTTTGCAAATATCTTCTCCCAATTGTTAGGCTTTCTTTTCGTTTTGTTGATGATTTCTTTTGCTATGCAGAAGCTTTTTAGTTTGATGTAGTCCCATTTGTTTATTTTTGCTATTGTTTCCCTTGCTTGGTCAGACACCGTATTTGAAAATATGCCCCTAAGACTGATGTCGAAGAGTGTACTGCCTATATCTTCTTCCAGAAATGTTACGGGTTCAGGTCTTACATTCAAGTCTTTAATCCATTTTGAGTTAATTTTTGTGTATGGTGCAAGATAATGGTGTACTTTCATTCTTTTGCATGTGGCTGTCCAGTTTTCCCA